GTCAACTCAAGTAGGGAGACTGGTGGGTTGCACGCGCCTAACTCCTGCCTGTCCATCCACCCACATCTTGGTTATACATGCCAGTTCACTTTCTTTTCCATGAGTAGATCATGGCTGAAGGAGAATCTCTTGGTGGGTAGCAGAATCTCCAGTCTGTCCTGCTGGCCCAAAACAAGGTGCAAATACTCCAGACTAGTTGCTGGTCAGACAAGGTGCCTGGAGAGAGAGATAGAATTTTTATAGACTATGGCAGCTGCCCTGTATCCCTGCCTCTAGCCCTCACATCTACCCTGATGATGAACTGTGTACCCAGGTGGGCATAGCAGGGAGAGACTAAGTCCTTGCTATCCATCCACCCATGTCTTGGTTATACATGCCAGATCACCTTCCTTATCCATGAGTAGATCATGGATGAAGGAGGTTTTATTCTGCACCGATCTGGCATTTAGAAGCAGCATCCAGATACCCGAGGGCTGACATGGCAGCCATCAAACCCACTGGAACATGGCACAGACATTAGCTGTCTGGGCCACATTCCCCTTACCTGGCCTGTCCTCCTCCCAGTGCCTTCCTCCCAGTTACCCACTTCAGGGACTCCCCTGCTAGGGTGGCCCTCCAGTAAGCAGAAGCCTGCTTTTATGCTGAGAAGGTGGCTGCTGAAATTGGAAGGCAAACTGAAAGCACTGAGCCCAGATGGACTGTGTTGGGCTGGGAGGAAAGCTGGAAGATGGTGGCGGCAGAGGCAGCAGCAGCAGGAGGAGGAGGAGGAGGAGGAGGAGGAGGAGGAGGAGGAAGCAGCAAGCTTTTATGCCAAGATGGTGACTACTGGAATTGCAATGCAGCACAAGTTTGCATTTGAATTTTAAAATATTCACTTCATCATAGCAAGTAATGCCTGTGTGGAAGTCACAGCTGGCCAAGTTATTAAATTGGTCACACTGATTTTAGCATGCCTGTGGCTAATCCTCCAGCCTCCAAGGTATTGTCTATAACCCATGAGCCTTAGCTATGCTTTCCAACCCCACTCAGTGACAAATGATTGATGTCAGGATGCAATAGGCTTAACTTCACAAGCTTAGTTGTGATAGGTGGAACATTTGGGGGTGGAAAATTTGCTAAGGGGATACAGATTTCAAAGGTGAATGGTAATTCCAAAAGAAGCTTGTAATGTAGGTGTGCAGAACATTCTTTGTTTAGTGTGGCTTCTATTAATCATTTCTAGACCCAATAAATAGCTATATGTATAGAGTTACTTTTCCTGCTTTTCTGTGTAGCCTCTAGATGTCACTGTGGTATGGCAAAATAGTAAAAATAAACAAGTGGAGAAAAAGGCTTCTTTATTTTTACAATTAAATGCTGCATTTTCCCAGCTCCAACAATATTTGGCCAAAGTGCTCATTAGATACAGAAGCAAAGCTGGTGGGTCAAAATATCATCTAAACAATCTGTAAACACTTATGAGGGGAAAGGACAAGTGCATTGCTTCATGTGGAAAAGCAATATAACTTTGTTAATTGATTTACCCTAGAATGGACACAGCACTCCCAAACTGATAGGAGGTGTAGCATGCGAAGTGTTTGTGGGGTGAACTTTAGCATGTGGATGAGAAATGTTATGCCTAACTCTAAAGTAAGCATGATATGGATTTCAAGTCATGTCTGCTTTAGCCCTAAATTGACCTCTCATCATGCATCTATTTCAGCCACAGATAACTCACTCTTTTAAAAAAATATTTTCCCTTCTGTTCATTCCTGATCCCTAACAGCCTTTGACTAGTTCACTTTACCCTCTGTATACCAGGAGCAGTATGACCTGGGAAGATTAATGGATCTGGCATAATTGAACAAACATCATTGCTGCCTCTATCCTTTCAAGGCCTATAATGCTGCCTCACTGCTCAGGAAGCTTTATTGGTCGCATACTACAAATCTAGACAGCCTAGCTTTTGATATGCCCTACATAAGGAATTTGGCAATGAACTATGAATGTCTAGGAGGAGTTCCCATCTAGGAGAAGTTTAAATATTTGCTGCAGCCATTAGATATTCTTTGAACTACAGATGCCTTTGGGCTTCTGAACATCTGCTATGTATCAACAAACATTTTAAGGCATGTTTAGGCAGAAAAAAGCCTATAATTCCCAGCATGCCCCAGCTATTTTGGGAAACATGGCCGGCCTCTTTTGGGCCTTTGCAAATTCAGAATATCTTAGAGTTAGGAAAAGTGCCAAAAATGGCAAGCAAAATGGTCAGGGCATCGGGCACCATCCATATGAAGAAAGGCCAAAGCTTTTGAAACATCAAATTAAGAACAAAGACAAATCAGAAATTATATCTATGACATCTGTGCCATTTTTGTTCTAGAATAGGTAGAGGGGGATCAGATCTGGATTTTAAAAGCTTCCTAGTTCTTCCACTCTGGGGATCTGATGCAAAAATTAACAATATCTACAAAAAAGAGATGTAGCTGGTTAGAGATGGATTTAAAGTAATGTCTGTTTGGGGACTAGATGACAGAAGTTTATAAAATTAGGCATGATATAGAGAAGGAGGCTTATTTCCACCTAAGTGTCTCATATTAGGATTTGGGATTGTCCAATGAAACTGACTGGCATAAGTAAATCGGATATAGAAGAGGATGCAGCTTTATGGAGTTCAGTCTACAAATGCTTATGGCATCAATGATAGGGGTAGTACAGCAGAAAGTGGGTGGATCCTTAAGGAAATATCAATGAATCAAATTGCTAATTCCCAGAATGAAGTCAGTGCAGATCACAGAAGGAAGCTTTGTAGACCTGATCTTTTCTGGAAATGCATGCTTCTGATCATTTCTGGACTGCTGGAACCTAAGAATTAGATTCCAATTGCACTAATGGTGGTTCTTGTTGGTGCAGCCAAAAGAGGCAAGCTGGGTCTCTCCTTAGTTTTTAAAGTGCTGCAAGACTCTGTGGGTTGGCTGTATCTAATGCTACTTCTGCTTAGAGTAGACCCAAGTGGAATAAATAGGGCTTCCATTAGACAAACATTGCATACAACCTTTAAAAAATTGCTTAGGAATACCATTACAATTTCATTCTGGGGCAAATTTTAGGCTGCTATTGTTTGTGCTAAGCAAAGTCATCAACTGGATAAAGGCAGGTAAGGACTACAAAAGCAATTTCCCTTATGTGTGATCAGACTGTGATGAAATATTTCAGCAGCTATTGATAAGACATTGCATAGAAAATCCAAGTGTGAAATACATGCACAGAGAGAGGGAAGGAGAAAACCAGTGAGCAAGCAATACATGAAAAATTGGGGAGGACCAGTGGGATTGCGCAGTCTGACCAGCCTTAATTGCTTATGGCAAACTACCAGCTGTGTGGATGTTCAAGGTTTCCATATGGCTTGAGGGTGCCTATTGGAGACATGTGAATGGGAGAAAGATGGTGGCCTGAATAAGCATGCAGGATTTATAGATAACAAACACCATGCAGATTTTCCACTGCTGAATTCTGCTAGGCAAAATGGCTGAGTTCATTGTATATCATCTAAAATACCTCTTCAGAAGTAGAACCTTCAGGTATCCAAACTCCATATGAACAAAAGGTTTCTGGAAATCTGCTATGCTGTTCTGCACCGGAGAACAAGTTTAAGGATGAAATCCTATACATGTTTAGAAAGAAAAAAACTCTATAACTCCCAGCTGTTTGGGGAATGCCAAGAGTTGTAGAACTTTTTTTCCCCTAAACATAAGCTGCTTTTCTTTCTGCAGTGACACAAGATGGATACAATAGAAAAATGCCAAATATTCCAACATACATCTTACCATGCAACTGTAGTTCTTCCAGGCTAACTGGTATATCTTAATGAACAGAATCATGTCAAAATATCAGGTTAGACAATGGGAAGAAAGGAACAAATAGTGTACATTTTTATTTATCCAGTTAATTAATTCAATCCCATCCTTTAATGAAAAAGGCTCTCAAGGGACCTTACAGAGATAAGAAATAAGGGAGTCTCTGCCTATAGAGCTACGACATAAAAGACTTGATGCCAAAGGAAAGAGGACTACGAGGAAGAAGGTGGAAAAATGCAAATTCAGGCTTTGTATTCTTAGTCACTAATCCACCTGCTTATGGAAATGCATGGTTAAGAATATATGAAGAAGCTTCATGAATCCCATTAAAGGCCCATCTTTTCCACAGGGATCTTCCCAGGTTTTTATGCCCACCAGCAGGACATGAATGCAACACACTTTCCATTTGTGTTCTGTTATTGAAAGCTGTACTGCTGCTGATATGCAAGTACTACAAACCCCTCATGACTAGTAGCCATTGATAGCTTTCTGCGAAATCGTCCAATTTCATATCTTCCATGAAATTGCCTAATTCCCTTTAAGACCATCCAAGTTGACAACCAGCACTGCATTTGTGGAAACAAATTCCATATTTTAAACATGCATAATATGAAGAAAGGCTTTCTTCCATCTGTTCTGAATCTCCCAATTTTTCCTTTTATTGGATGAGCCTGGGTTCTTGTATTTTGAGGAGGCAAGATTGCCTCTTTTCTTTCAAACCATGTTTCGGGGACTGGGGCAGGTATGTGTGGATGCATTCCTTCCTCCTCCTCCTCCTCCTCCTCCTCCTCCTCCTCCTCCTCCTCCTCACACATGTGGCTTAAAACTTCTCCTTTAGTCAAACCGAAGCCTTCTGTGACATCTGTACCAGCAAACAATGGTTTGAATAACCCTCCAATAAAGAATACAAACCACAATCGGATCCTGCATGGATCAGAGGATTGGATACTAATAAAACTGTGTTGATATACAATAACACAAAGAGGGCCTACATATGTGCTACATATGTTTGCTGGGAGGTGCATATAAGTTCAACACTTTTCTGGCACTCCACTATATGGATGTCAAGTCCATGTGGGAATCAGACATTAGTATTCCTGGAATGCTATGGTTCAAACTATTTTATATTGCAGTTTTGCCATAGAATATTCAAAATTCTAGCAGCTATGTCCAACTTGGTTTCTGACAGCAGAACCATCTTTTAAATGTACTTCTCATTTCTTTACTTCGAAATGCATAAATCATTGGGTCAATTACAGCATTACACATGATCAGGATGCCATTCACATGGAAAATGGAGGTATAGCAAATACAGTATGGATTTTGTGGGCAAAACTTCATTAGAAGCATATGGAGGACAAAGGGGGCCCAGCAGCAGAGGAAGACACCAAGTAAGATCGTTAAGGTGATGGCCCCTTTCATGTTGCCTCTCTGGTGAACTGAGCTTGTAGGCATCAAAGCGATCTTCTTTGCATGGGTGCGTGCAAGCAGGAACATGTGGATATAAAGGCAGAGGATGAAAATGAGCATAAAACAAAACAGAACAGCAAAGGACACAATGGTCGCTGTTGCATGAGAAAAAATGACCATTGCTATTCCACTCCCAGCACAGAATACCCAAATTACCATCAGGATCACTAATGCGTGCTTCCATGTCATGATGTTATGGTATTGCAGTGCATAGAAGATGGTTATATATCGATCAGCTGCAATGGCTGAGAGACTGAAAATAGATCCGAGTAAAGACAAAATAAACATGAAATCTGTAATATCATCCATTGTTGTTTCCAAGACCCCCTGACAGGTTAGGGATTTCATTTTGCAAAATACAATGACGAAGATGTTCTCCAGAGTCTTATACAAGCTTCCTAGCATGTCTGAAACAGCTAAACTGCAAATGAAAATATACATGGGAGAATGGAGCTTCTTGTTTCTCCACACTGCTATGAGCACAAGCAGGTTTTCCAGAATCCCCAGAATGGCAATGCTGAAGAAGATTTCTTCTGGCACAAGAACCTGGGGACAGTCTGAGATGTTGGTCAGGAGGTCACTGTTGTTTTCCAATGCAAGATGGTTTGTCTCCTCTATAGGTTTTATAATTTCAGAAGTTCTGTCGATCTTCATCTTTTCAACCTTCAGCGGAAACAAAGCAGTAGAGTTACTCACTCTGGCTTGATATGATGCAATAGCAACTGTGCCTAGCTGAAAATCTTTTTATGGTGAAATCATTTTGACTATATGGGACAGAATGGTTCACAACCAGTAAGGGCCATATTCAGGTATTCTATCTGAAGAGGAAACAGCAATACATGGAAGGACATGAAATCAAGCGAGTTGGTGCCACTTCAAGTATCTCTGCATGGGCTGCTCCACTCTTGACCTCTGTTGGTTGAAGTGAGAAGGTCTGAAGTGTTCTTCAGATTTATGGCTGAACATGTCTAGAAATCAACCCCACAACTAGGCTCACAGTTGTAGTCAAATGTCTAGAGAAGCCCTTGCAGACCTTTCTGCCAGCAGGTCTGGGCCAGAGCAGGTGGGGATGGGAATGTTTGGTATGAGGCTGGAATGGGGCCAGCATATCCCCAATCCCGTATATGCACTGCAATTTCTTGTTCAGAAATGTCAAGAAACACCAGAGATGAGGACCTGCACTAGCCATTATTTTTACCAACAATGCAATGCCTGGCTCACTGGAGTGTTACATGATGTTCACCCCAAACCATCCCCCACATGCTCCTTTTGCCATTATATATTGAATTTCTTCAGATCAGTTATGTCATGATGTTTTCTTATGCTGTAGCGCATTCATTTGTTCATTCACTCAGTTGTTCATTTGTTCTCTGTCTCTTTCTCCCTTTCTCTCTTTCTTTCATTCAAGTGTGTCAAACTTGCAACACCATGGAAGATGAATAGCTTAAATGGACTGGAACAGAGGAGAGATGCTACAAGAGAAAGTTTCCCTTGACATTTAACAAAACAGCAGCTACTCTGAGGAGGCAACAAGCCCAAACAGTCCTCAGTGGCTTTTCTGCCTCCCTCATTCTCCCACAGCTTCTTTCTCTCTCTGACTTAACCTATGAATTAGGGAATAGAAGCATGCTGCTATTCCTGTCCCCTCCCCTCCCCTCCCCTCCCCTCAGGTTAACTACAAACATACACATAGACAAGTCTATTTCAAAGTAAATCAAAGTTTCAGTTGTGCTTTCTGAGAAGTAAATCTCATTTACTTCAATAGCACTGACGCTTAGGAAAGTCATGCATGCAGAAATTACTTTAGGATGGAAGGGAAGGGGACATTGATCCCTCTAGCTTCACCCCAAGAGAGGTGGGAGAATGGCAACCAGTAGCTCTACCATCTCCCAGTCTTTTCTCCCCATCCCTTTCACTTTCTCCAGGAGCTTTTGTGAGGGTGCAAGACATGTCTTTGATTTTTCAAAAAGAGCTGAAGCTCCCTCCCTGTACACAGTCACTCCTTTGCACTTGCTTGTAATGGATGAAAAAAGAACCAATATTTTTAAAAAGGGACATTTCTCCTCACATATTGCCTTTCCAACTGTTCCTCCTCTTCCTCCTGCAATTGAAATTGTGTGACATAAGATCATGTTTTCAACATGCTGGGATTCAACTGTATACATTAGCATGTGCCAGAACAGTGGTAAATGCATTTTGCATAAGTGTAATGACAGCTTCTTCTGATGAATGGAAGAGGCTCTGGTGTAGATCTTGCCAGCTGAGCATATTTATCAGGGTGGGCAATGTTTGGTGGTTGGAGGGCTTCATTGGTCTCCTACTACCAAATCTGCTGTCAAAATTTGACTGCAGAGTGGTTGGTTAAAAAGAGGCGATTGTGCTTCAGAACAGGCTTCCAAGGGTGTGTTTCTACTTAAATGCAGACTCATGCTGTGCACCTTGTTTTCAAGCAAATTTTTGTCACAAAATTTGGCGGTGGCAGCAGCTATGGTAGGGCTGTGAAAAAGGGATGCTTGCATTGCATTGAAATGCTGGGCTTCGTTGTGAGGTATGCTTTATGTTCCATGCTTTGATCATTAGAGCTTTTAACTGTCCCATTAATTTCCCACTAATTAGTGTGCCTTTGGCTACATGTGTACAACATTTCAGTTTTCGCAGCTGCTACATAAGCATTTTAACTATTTGGGATGCTCTCAACTGTCTTCTTTCAAACTGTCCTAGTAAGCAGGGCGCCTTGATCCATACATCCCTTTGTAGCCTGTAGCCCCTTATAGTCTGCCTTTCCAGCTGTCATAGAAATATCATGAGGGATGATTACTGAATCAGGATATAGAGGCCCAAGCAATATATACATCAATATTAGTCTATAACATGACTAGAAATAGTCACTATAAGACAACTTTTCCATTTTCTTTCTCATGGAAAGAACCCAACTCATAAATGGAACCCAACTTGGTTAGATCCTGTAGTATGAAGAAAATATAAAAATATCCTGTTGTGGACTTAGCTCATTATAGTGTGGGTTGATTGACAGGGAAAAGTCATGTCTGACTATTTCAGATGATCTTAATTTCAGAGAAAAAAATCTTACGCATGTAGATGAAAGCTTCAGATTTCGAGAGTTCAGGTGCTAATTTAATGGAAAGGAGAAAATGTTTGTAGTAGACATGAATATAATGAATTGGATGGAATAACCATTTCTAGTATACATGTTTACTCAGAAGTAAGCCCTACTGGGTTTAATGGGATGTCCACTCAAGCAAATGTGCATAGAATTTGAACCTGATTGAAAAGCCATCTTTAGCCTGACACTTTCAATGTACTCTCAGGCGCAAATTCGACTCAGTCTGATGGAGCTTCTTTCTCCAGTGGTAATGTGCATAGATCTGCAGCCTTAGGCTCAGAGAAGTTGGATGCGTATATTTCCTTTTTCAGTCTTCAGTCACTTTGCAATAATTCTGGTTTGTCTTCCAAGGCTGATTGTATTATTAGAAACAAGTTAAACAAATGGCTGCTAGAACTGCGAAGTATTTACTGCCACACAGAAACCTCAAGTGTTCTTTGTTTGCATATGGTAAATATTAAATTTGTCAATATTGATGTGTGCAATTTAGGAATGCCATCTGGAGGATTTCTTACATTTTTCCTTTGGAGCAAATTGCACATTACATGAAAACTTGTTCATCAAAGGCTATAACCAAGTTTAGAAAATTCAAGCAACTTTGGGAAAGAATATTTTCATGGAAAAATGGTAGTGGGTGCTTGATCCACCCCTACAACTTTTTTCCTCCTGGGAAAAACTTCAGATGTGCATTACTGGAATTCAGTGAAGCAAGTGAAAAAAGCATGCCAAAAAAGGACTAGCATTCTCTCCTCTTCCCAGCTTTCTAAACTTGTGATTGTGTGTCACACACCATTGCAGAAAGGTGGTGTTTCACTTGTGTCTTCTTTGTGTGCTTTCCACAAGCATCTGGATGGCCATTGTCTGAACAGAATGGTGGGTTAGATAAGCCATTGCTCTGATCCAGCATGCCTTTTCTTAGGTTCTTAAAATTCTTTGTTAAGGAAGGTTAGTGCCTATAAATGCCTTCAAAAGTTCCCATTCACAGGATCTACTCATTTCCCCTTTCTTGGTGGCAGATTAATAATATCTGGAGGTTCAGGGTTCATGTGCAAACACAGATTTAGGGCAAAATCTTAAGTTAGTTAATGTAGAAAGAAGCCCTGAAGCTCATGCCTAGAAAATATGGGATGTTTTAGAAATTTTTCTGTATAAACATGCACAGGATTGTGTCCATAGTGTCCAGATGACAGAATAGAAAAGACTGGTTGACTGGGTTTGCATGACATGACAACCCATCATGGGACACAATGGGCTGTCATCGCATCTGAATTCAGTGTGGTTTAATTTTTGGCAACAAGCCACCCAACAGCCCATAGATTATTTTCGGGTTTGTTTAATCCATTATAAGTTTTCATGCCATTGGAACCTGGGAAAGCAACTTCATTATGGGTTGAGTGGCAAGGTTTGAGTGAACCCTTCATGAGTTCACTCCTCTGCCAACAGTGACAGTCCCTCCATTGATGCCCAAGTCGTGTGACCAACACTCTTAGATATATTTTAAAAAAAGAAGTGTGGCCCCAGAAAATTGGATAACAGTGATTGTAGCATTTTTATTATTTTGTGCAAGGATGTTTTTATGGCTTTCTGATATATAGTCTTGCCTGGTTAACTTCCTCATCTTTTCACCCAATGGAGTAGGTAAAAGACTGACAAGACTGATAAGACACTGCATATAGGTTAATTTGTATGCCCCATATAGATATAGTATATATAATTTGGTTGCCAGGGACCCAATTTCTAAGTTGTCAATTGAAAAGGATGGGTAAAGGGGGAAGAAAATGGCAAATGTGGGTTCACTAAAACTGTGTGGGCAATGCCTTCCCCATAATAAGGAAATCTTGTTCCTTTTAAGTGTTGAACTGATCATTCTGAGTATCCTCTGCTTTTTCAGTAATTCCTCAAATAACAGAACAGTTAATGCACATGAAGCTCTCCTCCATTTACTTCCAAGACATTAAATGTGTATATATTTCTGCAGCACTTTTTTTGTAAAAAAAAAAAGGTGCTGGAACTCACGTCTTGGGGTCACACTTTTACACAATGGTTGCCGCCGGCAGTAAGCACTCAGCGCGCGACCACATGACCGATCCCAAGCCGAGCAGCGTCCCAAGTCGAGCAGCGCCCTCACAATCAGCACCGACAATCAGCGCTGACACACAAGCAGCCCGCAGGCACTATGTTAATGATTTTTGCCACCAATCTGCTATGCCCAACAGGGCGATTCACAATCACTTGGAAAAATCTGTCAAAAAAAGGTGCCGGAATGCTGTTCCAGTGCGTTCTATGACAACCCCCCCCCCTGCATTTTAAAGGAAACCACAGTAACTGCAGCAGTAATTGTTCTGTGAGAACAACTCTGGAATAGCTGAGAATCAGGAAAGCATTGAAAAAGTGGAGGACATTGAGAAGTGTCAGTTCAATAGTTAATTGCGTGTATTAAATTGTCCCCTCTCCTTTGGTGCACCTACGTCTTTTGCTCCCTGCTTCCTTTTCAGTGCTTTTCAGTTAACAACTTGACAATGGATCCCTA